TATTTCACCAAAACCTATTAAGTTACCTTTTGAATAGAGACCGAATCAAATAGGCGTGAAATTAAGCTTCAACAAGTAGTAGTAATAATTAAAAATATCGGAGACCTCGACAAATGCTGGAACAATGATTTCCTGGAATACCAAAGGCTGAATTGGCTATAGTTTCAAAAGTGTTATTCAAAAGCCGGTCTCTATAAACATAGGTAACTCTTATGAATTAAAATATTTCCTAAATTATTATTAACTTAATTAGGATTTCTGCTGGACCACTGTACAATAATTATTAAGTTCGTTTTCATAGGTTCCGGTTAAATTAACGGCCATTGGCAAAAAAAGTCGTAGCTTATGAAAACTCACTTAAAAAGGTCACCCGCGAGAAATCTTGCAATGATTTTTCAGGACCTTTCATCATTTTTCACACTTTTTAAATAAAAAAAAGACTGTATTTAGTATCAAACAATTTCGGTTGAAAATATTTGATTATCTACACGAGAAAACGATATATATATGAACAAAATTGAATTATTTTTGGGCTGATATTTCTATCTTAAATTTCGACCTCCATTTATTAAAATAGATATGCCACTTGATTTTATATCCAGTTAAAATTGATAAAATATCCGAAAATTATTAGATATTTACTGGGCCTGCTATACAATTCAGTTTCAATTCAAAGTATCCTTTCACCTGTTGAAGCTTTTCCAAAGGCCACTTCCAAAAATCTCTTATGGAAGGAGACGATACTCTGATGAAGTGTGAGTAATTTTTTGTTTCACTCACAGAGAAGAGATTTTCAAATTTCAAAAATTGGAGAGTTAGAAATGGAAAATTTACGAAGGGTGAACCGCAAGGGTAATCTGGTGTACAAATTAAGAGGAAATCTAAAGCAATCAGAGGCAATTATCATCATTTTGCCTTCAACAATATGCACAACAACAAACGAAAAACAATTCTGGAAAACACACTTTCACTCTTGAATAACAGGTTTAATAAATAACAATCTAACAATTCAAGTGACTAACTGAAATCCTAATATATGTGACGTTTACGTTGACGGTCAGTTATCGGGTGTACTGGTGTATACCTCCAGTCCCTGGTCTCGAACGGGTTGCTACATTCCGTCCTGTTTTTTCACCCTCAGAGGTTCAAGTCGGCCTGTGACGTGAGTCCCTCCAAGATCTTGGCTCCATTTTGGTCTCCAGGCCCTGGTGAATTGTCTTCTTGCTTCTTTTCTTCCGGTGCTTGGGGTACTGATATATTGTCTGATATTTTGTTAAAGTGAGAAACATGTGTTTCAATTATTTTTCCATTTTCAAGTATTTTCGCCTCATTTTCATTTATTTCCATTATTCCATATTCCCTATTTTCATACTAAGTTGCGAGTTTGTGGGGAAATATTGTTTGCTGCACGAGGTCTTTATCTCCAGGTTTTAGTATGGTGTCTCTTCTTGGCTTCTTTTTGTCCTCTCGTTCCTTTCTTTTTTGCTTTTTGATAACATCATTGTCATCTGCTTCTTTATCAATTGTATTATCCTTACAAAGGTCATTTATTGAAGGAACTTTATCTCGGATTTTTCTATTAAAAACAAGTTCCGAGGATGATTTACCTCTCGTACCTTGTCGTACATTGTACATCAGAATAAACTTTTGGAGTTCATTTTTATAATTATTTAATCCGTTGTTGTGACATATCTGTAAACGTTTCAATAGTGGATGGTTCATATTTTCAACCAAACCGTTAGCTTGTGGCCAATAAGGTGGCGTGTGAATTAACTCAATTTTATTATCTATGCAGTATTTCTTGAGCTCGTATCTTATGAACTGTCGCCCATTATCGGTTCTAATAGATTTGGGAATGCCAAGTTTTGAAAATAATTCAATGAGGTAATTTATTTTTATTATGGATGTGGTTGATTTTAAGTATTTTATTTCCTGATACTTCGAGAAGTAATCAATGATAACTAAAATTCCAGCAAAATGGACGATTATGAGGCAACAATATTAAAAGATTCACCTATCACCACAAAGTCAACGAGCAAGGACGAGGAAATAAGCAGTAACAGAGAATGACAAATCGACACCAATATGGCGGCCAGTCGTTCTAGATCGACGTCATCAAGAAAAATGAAAAAATATGGTCAGAAATGCGGTGTTGTGGTGAAACGCATCCACCCCATGCAAGTATAGGACCTACCAGTGCGATATTTGTAAGAAAGCAGGTCATTTAGCTAAGGTTTGTTCAACAAAAAGAAGTTTCAATTTTGTAAAAAAAAATAATGGGTATGTACAAAATTTGGATTATTATTCTGATTCTGAAGATGATAAATTCTATATTGAACAAGAAACTACCGCAGCAAGTTTTGTTCCACTAAACCCCCGCATTATGCCATTGCTTATATCAGCATATTAATATTATATGAAGGAATCTAAGATTAGAATCTAGTTAGTTCCTTTGTACCGTTCTTGAGAAAATTAAGTTTTCCAAACAGGGTTTTCTGTTTATCAGTCACGTAACTGGCGCAGTCGGCAGTGCGTTTTCGAAAGTTAGTCCCGGTTTAGCAGAAAATTTGGGTTTTACGGGTCGTCGAAAAACCAAAATTGACTTTTTGTGTTGACGATTAACTGTCTAACGAAAATCGTTCGTTAAAACCTGAAAAAATAAAACTCTTATAACGTGCGAATGAGCTCACGTAGTCGTGGATTGAGGAACAAAAATCGTCCGACAATCTGAGGTACAGACAGAGGAACAAGCATCGTCCATCAGCCCTATTGGTACGGATAGAGGAACAAGCATCGTCCAAAGTCCATAAGCAGCTAAGTTAAACCAAGTTTATGTCTATCAAAGCGTATTTGATATTATTACTGTAAGTAATCCAATTTTTTCATATTTTCCTCATAAAATTGAGTTTATCCATTTTATTTCCATTTATAAAAGTGTAAACATTTGTTTTATCATTTTTCAAAAAACTGGAACGTGATAACGAAATAGAAGACTTAGCAGGTTTTCTTGAAAACTTAGTAATAAATAATATATTTGAAGAACAAATTAATATGGCTAATCCAAACTATCATTTAATCAAATCTGAAGATTGCCCTATGCAAGACATATTAACTATGAAATTAGAAAAAAGTGAGTGTCATAATTTTGGTTTGAAATTACAAGACGTTAGAAGTCCGTTATTTTCAAAAATTAATAATCCCAACGATCCTGTCAATGTGAAATTATTAAAAATTCAACAATTTGAAGATTTGTGTTTGAAAACATTTATCAATAATCTTAACTGTCACATGCAGTTGGTAGTAAGACTTAAAGATCTTGTTTCACTCCAACAAGCCCTTGCGATTGTCAGAGAAGACAAAAATTTTCTTCAATTCAAAAACAAATCGAACCCCAATACTAAAAATATGCCTACTGGAAATAATATTAGGAACAAAAACAAAAATCCTTTCAATAATACATACAATTTCAATAGATCAGTTTGAAGAACAAATAACAACAATAATCAGAATCGAAGTGTAACCGAACCAATGGATACCTCATCCGGCAACACTCGAATTAATACAATTCAAAGACCTCGCCAAAATAATTTTGTTGCACAAGAATTATTTAATCAATCTGTGGACACTGTATCTGAAGATAATACAAAAAACCAAACTGAAATTGACTCAGTTCAAAACTCTAATTTTGACGAAACCAATAATTTTTATCCAAATGATTACAATAATTATTATCAACCTTATCAACCTGATAACAATTATTTTAATCCGTTTGATTACATGTACAATATGTATGAGAACACCAATTTTCAAAATAATGATTTTCAGTATCAAAATTTTCAATTGACCCCGAATTCCGACAGTGTGACATAATTTGTCTCGATAATTATAATACCTCTGATTTACCAGTCATAATAATTCCTGAATTAAATGCTAAATTTTTAATTGATACAGGAAGTGGAACAAGCTTTATCAATTCGCCACTGACATATCCCGACTTTATTTTTAATGGATATTTTACATTTAGGACAGCCCATGCAATTTCTACTCATGATGAAGTTATAGATATTCCAATCTTTCCTTCACTCAGGAAAAATGGTCATCATAAATTTTATTTATTCAATTTTTCCGAAAAATTCGATGGCTTATTAGGCGTTGATTTTTTAATAGACATAGGCGCTAGAATTAATTTACAAAACTCGACTCTAGAGACATCTCAAGTACACATCGTCAGTACACAAGAAAAGTGGCACAAGTCAAAATTTGGATTTTTTCGGTTTATTATGATTTTCATATCATAAAAGGGTATATTTTCATAGGAAAAAACGACACATTTTTAACCGTAAATCATAACCGCTAGATGACACTAGTGTCACTTTGGCGCGAACCGAAATTTCTGTTGACTCCATCTTGAAAACCGTCATATCTCAGTACGCCTGTGACACTTGTCGGGGAAGGTGCTATTGTTTGTTCGCAAAAGTGGCATATTTTAAGTTAGGTCATCGAGGGATAAAAGCTATTTGCGAGAAAAGCGACACCTTTTGAGTTGCGTCACTTTTGAAGAAAAGGTAATTACATATTTCTTTATTCTCTTACCAACTCTACGTAATATTTTAAGTTATGCCAGTTTACTTGATAAATAGAATTAGATTTTTTGTAATTTTTTAAGTTATGCCAGTTTTCTTGAATTAATTTTTAATTTTTTTTCGGAACTTTGTAATTGTGTCACTTTTCTTGATTAACATTATACTTATCTAATTTTTTTTCAAGGTCGAAAATGTCATCAAGAACAAAATTAATATTACAATTAGTCAAGGATGGCGAGAATTGGAGGTCTCCAAATCAGCTTAACGATAGTAAGTACCGATATTTAAGAATGAATTTACCTGCTTACTAGGGTAGTGGTTCTGACTATCAATGACTATTGCTTTTTCTTTTCATTAAACAAAAATGTATTAGTCAAAATAATATTCCTATTTGTTTTATTTCCTTATTACTTATAGATAATCTAAACATTGCCAGAAACATCGAAGATAGAGCTAATTGTCCCAACTCAGTCACAGATAATCACACAGGCAAAAAATGTTTCGTAAATTTTGATGAAGAACAGCATAAAATACAAACCTCTTCAATGGTAAAGGAATTAGCTTCAACTACTGAAAATAATGGTAGGTACTCAATTTCTGATGATTTAGTTTTCAAGATTGAACAGTAGGTGTTAAAACTGAAAAAAAGCTATGAGACGATTCTTTTATTTTTATTTAAGAGAACATACAGATTAGACAAGAGGAACAAAAAACAGCAATATTCCATGGTGATACTGAGGCACTAAATAAATGTGTCGAGAATGAATCGCTTCCAAATTAAGATGATGAAACACAGGAAACCCAATCTAGCTTCCAGAGAGAATTTACATCAGGAACTATTGGTATACCTACCTATCCTTTTATTAACTAAAATCATTGTCTTGAATAATTGAATATTTCAGAAGGGTTAGTTCCTGATTTAGAGGATGATCAGAGTATAAACTCAGATACAGATTCTAGAAGCTCTTCAAAAAATCCTTATTCTTCAGATGATTCAATAAGGGATCCGGATTACGAAAGTTCTTCAAGCAGTTCTAGCAGCGATAGTGAATCTGAAAATAATAATGTAGGTCCTGGTAATATGCACAATTTGGAAGATACTGAAGCTGACCCTCAGAAGAAGGCTAAAAAAAGAAAATCGTGTCCCGAAAATTGGCGAAAGAATATTTTAAAACGGCTAAGGAATTCAGGAAAGTCGTATGTTTCTTGTGGCAAGAAACATCAACAGGTCGCAGAACGAAAAAAAGGCCCACCTTGTAACGACACTAAGTGCAGATTAAAATGTAGCTTAAAGATTCTGGGCGACATACGAGAAGCTATTTTCACAGATTACTGGAATCTAGGTGACATAGAAAAACAGCGATGCTTTTTGATGGCAAATATGGAACAAATAAATCCCAAATACCGATACGTCAGGGATGGAAGTTATCGCAAACCTAACCATGCTTTTTATTTTACAGTTGGCGGCAAAAAACACCGCGTCTGCAAACTGTTTTTTAGGACAACGTTAGGTATTTCCGACAGAGTGCTTAGAACTGTGATTGATAAAAAAACTCTTTGATCGGGTGGAATGATAACCTCAGCGATGAGGGGCAAGCATGGAAAGCATACACGAGTGGATGAAGAAATTAAAGATGACGTTCGAAATCATATTGATTCAATTCCCAGAAAAGAAAGTCACTATTCGCGTGAAGGCACTTCCAGAGAATTTATAGACGGTGGAAAATCATTGGCAGACATCCATCGTGACTATGTGGCTATTTCTAAAGCTAAAGAGCGGCACTATGCGAATTATCTTATGTTTAGCAGAATTTTCAACACTGAATATAATATTTCCTTTTTCATACCCAAAAAAGATCAGTGCGAGGATTGTATCGCATATTTTAATGCATCGGAGGAAGATAAAGTGACTTTAAAAGAAAAATACGATACACATCTTCGCGAGAAGGAGCTTTCTAGACAGGAAAAACAGAACGACAAAAAAAACAATGACGACAATACGATTATTGCTGTATATGATTTACAGGCAGTACTGCAGTGTCCCAGGGGAGATGTGTCTAGTTTTTATTATAACTCAAAGCTGAACGTGTTTAATTTTTCAATATACGAAATGAAGACTAACACTGGGCGATGCTTTGTTTGGGATGATTCCGAAGCAAACAGAGGAGTTTGCGAAATAGGCACCTGTGTATTCAAATACCTTCAAAACCTGGAAACATACGCAACTGAAGATAAAAAATTAGATGTAATATTCTACTCGGACAATTGTTGTGGGCAACAAAAAAATCGATTTATGTTTGGAATGTATTCGTATGCTGTTCAAAATCTCTCATTTATTAATTCTATAACACACAAGTTTCTCATCAAAGGTCACGCTCAAAATGAAGGGGGTAGCATGCACTCTGTTATCGAAAAACAAATTAAAAAGGCTCTTAAATCTGGGTCCATATACGTTCCTCAACAGTACATTACTCTTATGCGGACCACAAAAAAATCTGGACAGCCTTACATAGTAACAGAAGTTAGTTACGAGGATATACTGAACCTTAAAAGATCTCATTACTATCGGATCTAACTTGAAAAATACTGAAAATGAATCAGTGAAAATTGGAGAAATAAAAATGGAATGAAACAAATAAAATATTTTACAAAACTTCTTATGAAAAAGTCGATTTCAAGATTATTGAAAGAAAGCAACGCAGAAATAATAAAAATAATGTTTCAACATTAAGAAAATTGCATTCTACTAGACCCAAATTGGGTGAAAAAAAAAAGGAAAGTATTTTATCTTTATTTAAAAACAATGCTATACCTAAATTTTATTATAATTTTTATAAAGACCTTTAAACTCACACGTTGAAACAGTATTTATGAGTTATTTTGTTTAAGGCTGACACTCTAGAATGTTGAGTTGTTTATTTTTTGTTATAGAATTAGGTTTTTTTTATTGTTAGTGTTAGTTTCTGACAAAACTATTCAAGAAAATTTGTTTTTTGTACTTAGGAATAGTATATAAGAGTTCTGTTTTTATTTAAAAGTTTTTATTTTGTATTGGAATATACCAAAAATTTAATTAAAACAATTTTCAAGTAAAATTTGCCGTTTTTGTTACGTTTATGATACATATTTTATCCAAAAATAGAATATAATTTTTCGAGAAAACCGACACAAATGGAAATTTTTCTAAAAAAATCCTATAATGTAAACCCAAAATTGAAATCAATGGAAAAAGTTACTAAAAACCAATTCTGAAACCTCTAAATGTTTCACTAATACCACAAAGGACAAACTTTCTTCTTCAATTTCCATAAACTTTTAATCGAAAGTAAACATAATCTTCCAAATCGCTCTCCTGTAAAATTTGATTTTTTTGAGTTGTGTCAGTTTTCTTGTGTACTGACGAATACCTTTACAATTTCAAAATAAATTACATCAAAACGTAACAAAATCTAAACAATTACAATTTCATGGAATGATTATACCTCCTCGCAGTTCACAAAAAATTAAAGTACCAGTGAACCAAGCGAACGGAATAGGCATACTACACCATCTGAACTTAAAAAATGTTGCAGAAATGCCAGAAGCATTAGTAACTATAGAAAACAATTTTCCTTGTTGTTGATACAACAATAAGTAATTTTCGAGAAAATCTAGTTAAAATCAAATTTGAAGAACCTCTCGAAATAGAATCAATAAATGAATTTGAAAACAATTTCATTGAAAAAATGGAAACTTATGTTGAAATCGATAATTTGAATGACAATAAATTGAAACAAAATTCAAAAAATTTACGTTTAAATAATTGCAATAAAGAAAAATATACAGCTATTCGAAATCTTTTCTATGAATATCCTTTGACCTTTTTAAGGAAAATACAATTGATAAAGAAGCAGATGACAATGATGTAATCAAAAAGCAAAAAAGAAAGGAAAGAGAGGACAAAAAGAAGCCAAGAAGAGACACCATACTAAAACCTGGAGATAAAGACCTCGTACAGCAAACAATATTTCCCCACAAACTCGCAACTTAGTATGAAAATAGGGAATATGGAATAATGGAAATAAATGAAAATGAGGCGAAAATACTTAAAAATGGAAAAATAATTGAAACACATGTTTCTCACTCTAACAAAATATCAGACAATATATCAGTACCCCAAACACCGGAAGAAAAGAAGCAAGAAGACAATTCACCAGGGCCTGGAGACCAAAATGGAGCCAAGATCTTGGAGGGACTCACGTCACAGGCCGACTTGAACCTCTGAGGCTGAAAAAACAGGACGGAATGTAGCAACCCGTTCGAGACCAGGGACTGGTGGTATACACCAGTACACCCGATAACTAAACGTCAACGTAAACGTCACATATATTAGGATTTCAGTTAGTCCCTTGAATTGTTAGATTGTTATTTATTAAACCTGTTATTCAAGAGTGAAAGTGTGTTTTCCAGAATTGTTTTTCGTTTGTTGTTGTGCATATTGTTGAAGGCAAAATGATGATAATTGCCTCTGATTGCCTTAGATTTCCTCTTAATTTGAACACCAGATTACCCTTGCGGTTCACCCTTCGTAAATTTTCCATTTCAAACTCTCCAATTTTTGAAATTTGAAAATCTCTTCTCTGTGAGTGAAACAAAAAATTACTCACACTTCATCAGAGTATCGTCTCCTTCCATAAGAGATTTTTGGAAGTGGCCTTTGGAAAAGTTTCAATAGGTGAAAGGATACTTTGAATTGAAACTGAATTGTATAGCAGGCCCAGTAAATATCTAATAATTTTCGGATATTTTATCAATTTTAACTGGATATAAAATCAAGTGGCATATCTATTTTAATAAATGGAGGTCGAATTTTAGGATAGAAATATCAGCCCAAAAATAATTCAATTTTGTTCATATATATCGTTTTCTCGTGTAGATAATCAAATATTTTCAACCGAAATTATTTGATACTAAATACAGTCTTTTTTTTTATTTAAAAAGTGTGAAAAAAGATGAAAGGTACTAAAAAATCATTGCAAGATTTCTCGCGGCTGACCTTTTTAAGTGAGTTTTCATAAGCTACGACTTTTTTGCCAATGGCCGTTAATTTAACCGGAACCTATGAAAACGAACTTAATAACTATTGTACAGTGGTCCAGCAGAAATCCTAATTAAGTTAATATTAATTTAGGAAATATTTTAATTCATAAGAGTTACCTATGTTTATAGAGACCGGCTTTTGAATAACACTTTTGAAACTATAGCCAATTCAGCCTTTGGTATTTCAGGAAATCATTGTTCCACCATTTGTCGAGGTCTCCGATATTTTTAAATATTACTACTACTTGTTGAAGCTTAATTTCACGCTTATTTGATTCGGTCTCTATTCAAAAGGTAACTTAAGAGGTTTTGGTGAAATAGTTTGTGGAGAATTTTGCGGGTGGCCATTTTTGAAGCGGTTTTTTACTGGCACTGGGGATTTAATTTAACCGAAACTTATGAAAACTGATTTATTAATTGTACAGTTGGTCCAGCAAAAATCTTAAATAGAGTGTTAATAATCATTACTATTAACTATGTATACCTAGCAGATTTTAGCTGATATTATTACTTAGTGCTTATCAAAGTATTGTTACCTAATTTAATTTCATCGCAAAATGTGCACAATTATAATGTAGAGATTTCTTGCGGGTGACCTTTTTAAGTGAGTTTTTAAAGGTTACGCTTCAAACCGGAATCTATCAAAACACACTAAATACAATGTAAAGCTGGTCCAGAAGAAATCTTAGTTATTTTAAGGTTTTACTATTATCTAATTCAGAAATTAATTTTCGTTCTTGATATCCCCGAAATTTTGGATGAGGATCGATTTTTTGAAAACTAAATTTAAATATACTTAATTCACATAAAAAAAATATACATATTTTTCTGAATCTGATCACATTTTATTTGTAATACATACTTAGTTTTAAATTCGATCTCCGTTCAAAAAGTAGGGGATTGATTGGGATGACGACTTAAGCTTGAGGTGTATTAGTTTTTAAAGACTTCTCGCAGTAGATCTTTTTCAAGTCAGTTTCTATAAGTTGGTGTTTGTTTTTCTTTTGATCTCATCTCAGAAGTCTCAATTTTTAATGTACATATTATTATTTTCTATTTTAAAATTATTATTATTTTGAACATTATTTGAGTGACTGGATTATGAGCTTTTTTTTTGTAAGTCTGGAATGCTAGAAAAAAGAAATTAAAAACCCAAATTCCAATAATACATTTCCTAGATTCAATTTTGTTTTCTATGATTTCTTTTTTCTTGTATATTATTATTGTTTGTTGTAAATAAGTGATTTCATTCGCTTGGATCTGTTTTAAGCCAGTTTTTCTAAGTTGCTGCAATTTCTTCACGTTGATAAAGAGTTTGAACTCAAGTAAAATGTAAAAAAATTGATCCAATAAATTGTACAGCTGGTCCAGCACAAATCATAGTTAGGGATCCTATTTTAATAAAAATTCTGGAAACTGAATTTCGAGGAAATTCACATGAAAAATATTTTTTGTGTAGTTCTTATAAATTGCCTTTTTGCTTTTTTTCGCGTTGAAAAGTTGTATTTTAATCGGACTTGATTAATTGAAAAGCAGAGGTCAGCAGAAATCCCATCTTCAAGGTATTTGTAGATAATAATGTTGTGTTATAGGTACTAAGTTTAGTTTTTATTATTTTAATATTATATTTAGGAATATTAATTTTGTAATTTTTCTGTTTTATCTTTCTATTGTATTTAAAATTGGTTTTTATCAAATATTTGTTTTATCTTTGTATACTTTTATCTGATACCTATAAATCAGGTCGTAACTTGTTGGGGTACATACCAATTAGCTATTAGTGATTTCTTGCGCTTGAACCCTTTTTAGGTCATTTTTTTTTAGCCTCTACTAACCAAGAATGCGGTTGAGGTACGTACCTAACTATGTGCTGTGAACTCAAGAAGAATTAGTTAGACTATTTTCATTCATGTATACGTTATCAATATTATTGTCATATAAATAAATGTTACCTTTCTTCAGTTCACTCAAAAATATTGCCTTTCTTATTTTCTTTATTAGTGTGGCCTCAGTCCATGCAAATTTAATTGGATTTCTATAATCTTTCACCACGTCAATCGTCTCTCTCTCCCTCCATAGTTCTTCTTTTGTTATTCTGGAGCCTTTTTTAGGTTTTCTATTGCCTTTCCATCAATGGTATCTATAACTTTGTTGATTTTTCGCATACTAGGCATTCTGGTTCTCAATTCTCCCTTATACAGGGTGTCCCCCTAAGGTCGACCAGGTACGATATTATGGAAACCATAGACCTTACATAACTTGAAAACGAATGCAGATATTGAATTGCGGTTCGTGCCAAAATGTAGATATTTTTTTGCTCTTTGAGCACAGCAATAAAAAAAATAATATCCTGCAATTTGGATTTTTCAAGAAAATTAGAAAAAACTGGATCTTGGTTAAACAGCGCCATCTAGAAGAAGCGGTGGGAGCTATCGCACCGAACGAAGTGGTGTTCTTAATAATCAGTTTGGATGAGGGGTATGGAGGATACAACAA